GTCTGTGTTCATCAGTGATATTGGCCTATAATTCTCTTTTTTTTGTAGTGTCTTTGCCTGGTTTTGGTATCAGGGTGATGGTGGCTTCATAGAATGAGTTTGGGAGTATTCCCTCCTTTTCAATCGTCTGGAAGAGTTTGAGAAGGACTGGTATGAGTTCTTTGTATGTTTGGTAGAATTCCCCTGTGAAGCCATCCGGTCCTGGACTTTTATTTGTAGGGAGGTTTTTAATTGCTATTTCTATTTCCTTTCTAGTGATCGGATTGTTCAAGTGGTCAGTTTCTTCTTGATTCAGTCTTGGTGGACATTATGTTTCCAGAAACTTGTCCATCTCCTCTAGGTTATCCAGTTTGGTTCCATATAGTTTTTCATAATATTCTCGTATGATATTCTGTATTTCTATTTTGTTTGTTGTAATTTCTCCATTTTCCTTTCTTATTTTGCTAATCTGTGCTCTCTCTTTTTTCTTCTTTGTGAGTTTGGCCAGAAGTTTGTTGATTTTATTTACTTTTTCAAAAAACCAGCTTTTGGTTTGGTTGATTTTTTTCTATGGTCTTGTTAATCTCATTGTATTTATTTCCTCCCTGATCTTTATAATTTCCTTCCTTCTGCTGCCTTTTGGGGCTTTTTGTTCTTCTTTTTCTAATTCATTCAGCTGGTGGGTTAAATTGTTTATTTGAGATTGTTCGTTTTTGAGGAAGGCCTGTATCGCTATAAACTTCTCTCTTAGCACTGCCTTTGCTGTGTCCCATAGATTTTGAGTGGTTGTGCTTTCATTGTCATTTGTCTCAAGGTATTTTTTAATTTCAGCTTTGATTTCCTCATTGACCCATTGTTTTTTCAATAACATATTGTTTAATCTCCATGCTTTCCTTTTTTTCTCCTTTGTTTCTCTGTTGTTGATTTCCAGTTTCATGGCATTGTGATCAGTAAAGATGCTTGAGATAATTTTTATCTTCTTAAAATTGTTGAGGTTTCTTTTGTGCCCAAGTACATGATCGATCCTGGAAAATGTTCCATGTGCACTTGAAAAGAATGTATATCCTATTTTTGGGGGGTGTAATGCTCTGAAAATATCCACCAAATCTAGTTTTTCTATTGTATTATTTAATTTCTCTGTTGCCTTGTTTATTTTCTGTCTGGAAGATCTGTCTAGTGATGTTAATGCAGTGTTAAAATCTCCAACTATGACTGTATTCCCATCAATATCCCCCTAACTAACAGTAATGCAATAGAATCTGTATCTTGATGATGAAATTACTTACATAAGAGGAATGAGATTTAAAAAAATTCCTTTGGTAAATGTGCATTGCTGTGCATGCTGAACTCCAGTAATTGGCATTAGGGTGTAATTTAATAAAAAACCATGTGTATAATAGAAATAACTGTATTAATGTAATAGACAGGAATGTAATAGTGAAATTGATCATTCCAGTAGCTAGCTTAAATTTTATTTTTTGTTAATAAGAGATAAGGAATACTAAACATTTTATAAGAGGAAGATAAACTACAGTTAGAGTAAATATTCCATAATATGGTATAATTCAACAGGTATTTGAGTAATGGAATGGAACAATGCTCACTAAACATAGAAAATATTTTGTAAGATACTGTCTGTGGGTTTAAGGCAATGTAACTTTTAAAAATGCCTGGTATTCCCAGAAAACATTTAGTTGCATTTCAATGAATGTGTCAATAAGTTGCGGTCTTCTGCCTGTTTGAAAGTATTTTCTTTCTATTTAAATATAAATCTTTAGTGCAATTATTTAGAATATACCCTGCTGTTTTCTCTCCAGACTGTAGATCTCCAAAGCATTACCTCCTTTCACAGGATTAACAGAAAATTCCCATTTCCTCAGCTCATTTTCTATAATGTATTCCATTTCTGAACAACCCATTATTTCTCATGCCATCATTCTTGCCTAAGAGAAAGAATAAGACAAAAACTAAACTAAACTAAAGTAAAACCAGGAAGCCTTAAGGTGGCTTTATCGTGGCAGATTATTTCTTTGTTTGAAACTATGGAAAGTTTTAAACCTCAGGGTACTGCTCCCTAGTAAGATGTTTGAGGAGTGAGCTGTCTCTTCAAAAGTAAGAAAGGGACTTTCTGGAAAGAGAGGAAACTACGTGATGCCATGAAGAATGTGCATGGGTTTGAAGATATGAACATTTAGTCATTTCCTTTTTGCTTGTTAGGTGAATACATAGGATTTAAAATAACAATGATAATATCTTTGTTTTGCAGCTGTCGTGAGTGCCATCCCTGTGCCAACCCTAGAAAGTGCCCAGTACCCAGGAATCCTTCCATCGCCCACATGTGGATACCCCCACCCGCAGTTCAGCCTCCGGCCGGTGCCGTTCCCAACACTGTCAGTGGACCGAGGTTTCGGAGCAGGAAAAAGTCAGTATATTGCGTTTTCCTTTCTTATTACTAAGAACAAATGAGTAGTACCAAGGATGTCTTGTCAAGTGCGTAGCATTTTTATGTTCTTATCTTTTGGAAAGATTGATTTACCTATGGCCTGGGTCCTAGACTTGTCTTTTCCTGCATGGTCAGTTTTTTGGACTTTGCTTACACACTTTTGGGCTGTTTCTCTAGGAATGTTTCCACTGTCCATTGCACTGACAATATGGGCAGTTGTGGGGGAAACAAAGGTTAACTGGTTCAGTAAAACAGTGATGCTTGTAATTAATATGTAATGGGTGCTTGCAATTAATTTGTTCTCTTAACTGGAAAGTTAATAAGCAAGTGACTGTCCTCCAACATACTCTTATTTAAGTGTCTGTTGGTTGTAATTCAAGATGTCTCATTGATTCCTGATGAACCAATACCTGGATGAAACAATATATAATTAGCATATATAACATTGTATAAATTTAAGGTGTACAATGTGTTGATTTCATACACTTACATACTGCAAAATGATTACCACTGTAGCCTTAACCAACACCCCATCATGTCACATAATAAGCATTTATTTTTTGTGATGAAACATTTAAGAGCTACTCTCTCAGCAACTTTCAAGTGTATCAAGATAATACAGTATCATTCGCTATCATCACTATGTTGTTCATTAGATCCCCATAACTTACTCATCTTATAGTTGGAAGTTTGTACTCTAAACACTAGTTCCCTTTTTCTCTCATCTCCCAGCCGCTGGTAAACATTGTTCTAGTCTCTATTACTATGAGTTTGGCTTTTTTAGATTCCACATGTAAGTGATGTCATATAGTATTTGTCTTTCTCTGTCTGGCTTATTTCACTCAGCATCATGTCCTCAAGGTCTATCCATGTTATTGCAAAGAGCTGGATGTCCTTCTTTCTCATGGCTGAATAATATTATATATGTGCAAGGGAGGGTATAGCTGAAGTAGTAGAGCACATGCCTAGCAAGCATGATGTCCTGGATTCAATCCCCAGTACCTCCTCTAAAAATAAACCCACTACCCCCCCCCAACCAATATTATATATGTGTAGACAGATAGATGGATGGATATAGATAGATACGTAGATATATAGTACAACTTCTTTATCCATTCATCCTTGACAAAAGCTTAGCTGTTTCCATGTTTTGGATCTTGTGAATAATACTGAAAAAAAGCATGGCAATATAGATATCTCTTTGATATCCTGTCTTCACTTCCATTGGCTCTACCCAGAAGTGGGATGGCTGGATCATATGATTGTTTACTTTTTAATTTTCTACGGAACCTCATCCTGTTTTCCATACAGCTGCACTAATTTAAATTTCCACCAATAGTGCAGAAGTGTTCCCTTCCCCACATCCTTGCCAATGCTTCTTATCTGTTGTCTTTTTTATTTTAGCCATTCTAGCAGGTGTGAGGTGACAACTCATCATGGTGTTGATTTGCGTTTCCCTAATGATTAGCGATGTTGAGCACCTTTTCATGTGTGTTTGGTCTTTTGTATATCCTCTTTGGAAAAATATCCATTCCGTTCCTGTGATCATGTTTTAATCAGATTGTTTGTCTTTCTGTTGTTGATTGTATGCGTTCTTGATACATTTTGGATATTAACCACTTATCAGATATTTGATTTGTAAGTATTTTTTCCCCTTAGCTTTTCATTTTTTTAATGGTTTTCTTTTCTGTGTAGAAGCTTTTTAATGTGATGTTGTCCCACTTGCTTATTTTTGCTTTTATTACTTCAGTTTTTCGTGTCAAATTAAAAAAAAAATCACTGCCAAGACCAATGTCTAAGTTCTCTCCCAGGAGTTGTATACTTTCAGGTGTTAATAAGTCTTTAATCCATTTTGAGTTGTTTTTGCATATGGTGCAAGATAAGAGTTCAGTTTCATTTTTTTATATGTGACTATCCAGTTTTCCCACCATCATTTATTGAAGACACTGTTCTTTCCCCAGAGTATATAATTGGATCCCTTGTTAAATATTAGTTGACTGTATATGTGGGGGTATATTTGGGCTCTCAGTTCTGTTCCATTGGTGTCTGTGTCTGTTTTTATGCCAATATCATACTGTTTTGATTACTACAGCTTTGTAGAATAGCTTGAAATCAGGAACTATGATGACCCCAGCTTTGTTCTCAGGATTGTTTTTGGCTATTCAGAGTTCCATTTAAAGTTTAGGGTTTTTTTTTTCTATTTCTGTGAAAATGACATTGGAATTTTAGTAGGGATTGCATTGAACATATAGATGGCTTTGGGTAGTAATTTTAACAATATGACCTTCTTCCAATCCAGGAACATGGGATGTCTTTTTAGGTTTTTTATGGTTTATTCAATTTCTTTCATCAAATCTTGTAGTTTTTAGTGTAGAGTTCTTTGGCTTCCTTGGCTAAATTTATTTCTAAGTATTTTGTTCTCTTTGATGCTATTATAAAAGAGAATGTTTTTATAATTTTTCTTTCTAATAATTTGTTGTTAGCATATAGACATGCAACTGATTTTTGAATATTGATTTTGTATCCTGATTCGTTTTAAGAGAAGTAGACATGGAGAGAGACTCTCAAGCTATTACATATACCCTGGTGATTTTTCCTATGCCATTTGACTCTTTTTTTCCTTCAAGCACAGCATTTTAAAATCGATTTTATGGCATTCTTCTCTTAGTTAAGAACAGGAGACTCAGCAGCTCCTGTGAGATAGGCTGTCTCGTAACAGATAAGATGGTAACAGCAATAAAATATATTTCTGGGGGGTAGCTATATTTTTTCTAACCCAGCAGGGACAGCTCTAAGAAATCATAAATCATCTAGATGTAGCAAGGTTAGAATTAAAAGGCATCAAAGATCTGCCAAGAGAGAATTAGATTTATTTTCCTTTTTCTCACTGCACATCATGTCTGCAGAATAGAGTTGTGTACAAAAACTCAAGGGAAAAAATTCCTCCAAACTAATAAACAGATAGATTTAGTCTCCTTAGTCAAGTTTTTATTTTGTTCATTTATTTAAAAGTAAGGATGATTAAATAAATTCAGTTTTATAACTATTATATAACATATAATGCAAATGTAAAACAGATAATGTAACTATTATATAAAGGTATGTAAATAAATGATTCTTAACAGAAGGCCTAGCTTAGTAATTCCTGACCCTCATCTAAAATCAAAAGGCATAGACATTCTGCTCCTGGCCAAGATTTCATAGATTTTTAAAATATGTATTCAGCCATTCTTCAGGTGTTTTTCGAGCAAAGCTATGTGCAGTGTAAAAGGAATAGGAACTAATATGTGTTTCCAGGGGATGGCTTAGAAAAGGAGAAAGTAGAATAAGCACCCTCTTTTCTAGGAAACTAAATATCCTCTAAATTACTGTCGGAAACAGTTAACTCCCAGCCATTCAGTATTGGTTTCTAAGTGCCTTGGAGAACACTGAACAGCCCTGTTCTCTCTCAAGCAGAAAACATTTCGTGTCTCTGGCTGGAGATGTCTTATTAGTCACCTTGAAAAACAGCAAAAGGCACACAAAGGAAAAGAAAATTTGACTGTGCAAAATGTGGAAACTCTCCTTCCCCCAAAGTTATCAGAAAGACTTTGGAGTTTTATGAGAGATGAATCACTAAAACCCTGCCCCTGAAGACCTGTTGCTCTCTGAACTCACGAACAAAGCTGAATTCCTCCCTGCCCAGAAGGAGAGGAAAGACACAGGGTTAGCACATCTGCATTACTCATACTCGGTGATCCACAGATAACGATTTGTACAGTCGCGATGGACCAGTCCCTCGTCTTCTACCGGTATACTGCAGTTCTGCTCTTAGCTTCAAGAGGCAAAGGAACTGTACTTTGGGGAACAAGGAACGGTGCTATATTTTGAAAACCTCAAATAATAATCTTGAGGTCTCATTTCTACAAATCACTATAAAATCAGTGCCCCCAGTTCCTCATCTTTGAAACAGGTGCTAGAGAAAGGTTGATGATTTCCACTATTGTTTTCAGTGTCGGCATCGTCTTAGTTACTGAGAAAACTTTATCCATGTTCTTTTTCTGTCTCACCTCTCCCCGAATTTGGAAATCAATTAATGAATGGGACTTGCCCTCAATAAAATCAGCACAATGAAGTTCATGAATTTTTCTCTAGGGTCTTTTAAAGATAATCCAGGATATGAGAAATTGGGTTTACTCAGAAATATTTCATGATGCTGTTCATCTGAGATTAATGAGCAAATTTAGTTCCTAGAAATGTTCGTGTCTTGAGGGGTCTTTGCCTAGACTTAGCGGTGTGCTGTGTATCTTTCAAATATTACAATTTTAGATAGAAGAAAAATCCTCATTTCCATTTTTGCAGTATTTTTGCCAGTTATTCCATAGCAATTATTTATGTGTTGACATTAATTATTATAAAGTGCCTTGGGATTTGACTCTGCTGTGTAATTGTGTGCTATTTGTACAATGAATTCCTACCATTTCATCATCTGAAAAGTGGTGCCTTGCCAGTACGCACTGGATTCTCACGTTAGTCTCTGAATTGTAGGGAGGCTGCACTTCGCGGGTGAAAGCAGGGTTTCTTTGCCTTCCGATCTCTTAGCACAGCTAAACGTCATGTCACAGGGCCAGTTTGTTTCACATGGGTGTCCTGAGGCTGTCACTTGAACTGGCCAAACGGGCTCATCTGAAATGAGAGCTTTTCTCCAGCAGAATAGTTGCTACTGTGTTTGTTTTAAGTTATTCACCACCTTGAATGTCAGCCAGTTCTAAAAAGCATTTTTTTTTTGCTCCATGTAAAATATAAGATTTATCAATTGTCTATGGAAAACCTGTACCTTGTGCGTTGGATTAGGTATTAAGCAAAATGAAGATTTTGAACAAGACAAAAACAGTTCCTTATGCATTACTGATACATTCAGTTTTGAAGCTGGTTCTTCCCATTTCCACCAGTGCATGTTGCTAGAGAGCTGGTCCATTGGTATCAAGCCACCCTGATTTCCCTCAAAGTCAAGAATCACACTGTGATGTTCCCAGTAGGAACCACAGTGGCCAGCTGGAAACCTGGGGATAGAGGACCAGGCCTGCATGGCATTTTTATTTTTTTAAATAAATAAGAAACTAAATGTTAGAAGACTAAAACAATGCATGTAAGTTTTATTAAATCTGTGATCATGATGTTTTAACACAGATCTCTTTCATGTCAGAAGGGTGGAATAAATAGGAAAGGAAAACATGACGGGAGGAATAAAGAAAAGACATCACTAAACAGTATCGTTTCTGTAATATAATTAAAGCAGTTTTCAAAATATGATATGAATTTACTGCAATCCAATCTTCAATAGAGAGAATTATACTTCAGGTGGATTTCTGAGGGAAATTGTGAAATTTCTTTTCCTGGAGAGGTATTTTTAATATGATGATGTGGACCCTTTAATAAAAATCCAGCCCACTGGCTGGTTAATAAAGAGGGACCTAGGTGTGGGTTCCCGCAGCCGCTTCGCTCTGATTGAGAGCTGAGAGGCGCCGTGTTTTCATCTGGACGATTCACCCTTGGTCATTTGTTCCTTTAGACTAAATATGAGTCTGGAGTAAAACCTGCAGTTTTCTTTGTTTCTAAAAATATGCTCTGAACCGCTTAATTACACAGACTTCACTGAACACAAGTACACGCATTTCTTTTTTCCTTCACATTCTTAAAAGCAGCTTGGCTCCTTATAGCGTCTACCTGAAGCCCCCATTCCCCCTTTGCCTTTTCCTGAACCAGCATCACCACAGCTTTGCCTGAACGTGTCCCCTGCCGCTCCGCATTCAGCGTTGATCTTGTGTGTACGTTTGCTTGTCCCCTCCAGCTTTGACAGGACTTCCGAGCCTAGAGAGAAGGTGCTTCTCTTCAAACTCCTCTTGCCCTCAGAGTCCTAGCCCGTCCGCTGTCCTGATTACATTTTCCTTACTTGAAGGACTCTGTAATCAAGTCTTGGCCTGTTTTCTGGTTCTGGTTGCTACGTGGCTACATCTTACCCTCAGCCAACCCTTGTCTCTCCCCACCTCCATCCTTGAATGGGGTAACCCTGAAGGCTGCTCAGTGACCCGGAGGCCCTCGAACCCTTTCTGAATATAGAAAAACGAGTTTCAATATCAAACGCCCTCTGCAGGCGCCTTTCACTTTTGCGTATCTTTAATATTATGTTTCGATCTTTCGTATCTTTAATCTCCACTCCCTTCAGCATGATCAGGTTTTCTGTCTCCTCTGCCCTTTGCTGACCTCACTGAGCCTCCCAGACAGGTGTCTCAAGATTGTCTCACAAACTAATTATCTGGGAATATTCCCTGGTTAAAAATTCTCTTTCAAAAGTGAGACAGTATCTTCCATCACTGCATTTTTTCTTCCAGCTTACCTAAGAGAACTTTCTTAAGAAATAAATCATCAGAAATATTCTTACTTCAACACTTATCCCGACTAGGCAGTTCTTTTCATTTGCAGTGTAACCTGGACCTGGTGGCCCTGTGAATGCATCAGGTCAGATCACAATGTCGTTAGCATGAGAAACTGCCTGGCCAATATTTCAGTTTGACTCAACTGAGTTCTCTGGCGAAAAGATGTGTTTCCATATACAAAACAGTCCAGATAGGCAAAGGCTGTCCCTGATGACTCTGTGAAGCCTCTTCAACTGTAATAATCTGACCGAAAATTACACTGTTTGCTACCAAAGAGGAAAAATCGCAATTCTGCATCCAGGCAACTTGTTCCATCAGAATCATCTCTCATATAACTTCTTAGATGGATGTGCTTCTATTTTGTTACGACGATAATGATAATATTATTATTTGTATCTTTTCATTAGCAATTCCTTGAGCGCCCAGTAACTCTGATTTGTTTGACAGTTGGCATGGCATGTTTAAATCATAGAAAAATTGGCATATTGGCTGGTAGATAATAATGCAGCTGTAGCCGGGTCTGGGACACTGAATTTCACTGACATTGCTCCCTATGAAAGGAGAAATAACTCTCTTTTTCTCGCTTCATCACTATGATTACAGGGCCCAGACAGCTGAGGCAATAGTCAGTGCGATATGTATTTGACTTTTCTTCCTGGAAGATAGATCCCTGTCCTGTTGGATCTACTTCTGCTGTTTAAAGGGGCAGTGCTGTCATATCCCCTAAATATCTGGGGGTAGAGAGATGGGGATGTTTTTAACTTGAAGAACATCCTGGATACTCTCTGAACTCACGCAGAGGAGGCTCCTTCGGGGGACTTAGGGAAGGCCAGCTTTGATCCTCCTAGAATAATGAATGGCTTCTCTTGTCTCCATTGCAGCGGTGAGTGAAGGACCAACCACCCAGCAGCCACCCATGTTGCCCCCGGCGCAGGCCGAGCACCCCAGCAGCGAGGAGGCGCCCAGCAGAACCATCCCCACGGCCTGCGTCCGACCGACTCACCCGCTCCGCAGCTTCGCTAACCCTTTGCTACCTCCACCAATGAGTGCAATAGAACCGAAAGTCCCGTACACACCGCTTCTGTCGCAGCCAGGTAAGTGCCCGTGTGTTCACTTTTAAAAGCTTTGTTATCGGCGGCTCTGAAAAATGCGTGAAGGTTCCTGGATGTAAGGTGTCCTTTTGACATTGATTATGTGCCGCGTGTGCTCGTGTCTCTCACTGATGTTGTGTTGCAGCTCTGAAGTATCTGCTTGCTGAGCAGCTGGCTGGCTGCAGGTGCCTTTCGTTCCTTTAGAAAGTTGTTCATTGATCCTGAGGGCCAATCCGGTACTTTTGGTATGTGCTGTAGGTGTGGCCACTGGAGGAGAATCCTGGAGAAGTTCTTCTGTCTGCCATGTGGGTCCTAGGATTTTAGGCCAGACTCCAAGACTCGAGTTAAAGGTACAAAAGCCTGCAAAATCACTTTTTAGAGAAATGCATATAATCTCGTAATTCCACGGGTTCTTATTTCAGAGTTGCAAGGCCAGGAAGGAGTAACAGACCAGTGTTGAGTCTAACTTCCTAATTTTAGAAATAAGGCAACCGAAACTTAGGTAGAAAGGAACAGTTTCGCTATGCTTCCCTTTTAAGAAAATCAAGCGGCAGAGAGGAGAACCAGGGTCCCCAGTTCCCAATGCGGGGCTCATTCTACTACCCTGAGGCTGGACCAGAGCGCCTTTTTGTTTCTGCTGGGGATTAGGGAGAAGACGGCGTCGACTGTCCTGTTCGGGCATAAAAGGGTTTGGGTTTTTGTTTCTGTTTTTGTTTTTTTAAGTGACTATGTTATCCAGAGGAAAAAAGCTAGAAATGATGTTCTAACGTCCATCTTAAATGAAAATTTTACTGTGGTGGTAATGTTTGGTTTGGAACACAAGGTTTGGAAATCAACCCATCTTCTAAGCAATCTGCAATAACAAAAAATGACCCAAAAGAATCCTGATTTTAGGAAGAACACCTGACAACAGGCAGAACAAAGCACTTATCACTGTTATTTACTAGTTATTAATTTCTTCTAGTTACAGTAATACCAAAGCTGCTGTAAACAAAGTCTGACACAATGTAGCCTAAATGAGCGTATTATATCCTTAAAAGACGGAAATAGAGTCCATTCTTCTGTCTCTGCACCTAATCTCTCAAATAACAAGCATCTTTGAAGAAGCATTCTCCCATCTACTGCCCTGTTGGCAAGCTCTCATTTTTCTTTTATTTCCATTGCGCATTTTTAAGTCTTCTTTTAATGTTGTTCTTTTTTTCAGTGACACTGTGTCTTATAAGTAAACTGTCTCTTCTTTCCAATTTTCCAGTCTCTCTGGCTTGCATTTTTGGGGTTGATTTTTATATTATCACAGTTCCTCTTTAAATGCCGCCCTCCCCCACCCACCTGAGGTACATCCCACCATCACTTGGGAATCATTAGACGCCCTTCCCTTCTTTGTTTCTCCGTTGTCTCCCTGTGATTCCTGTTCATTTCAATAATGTCTTACCTCCTGATTTTCAAATAAGTTCTCCCTGCCCTGCTCCCGACACATGGTAAATAGTACGCTTTTAAGAGCCGATGTTTACTTATTCTAATAGAAAAAGAAAATTAACAGACTGACAAATGTATTAGCTGTGACATTAACTACATGCTTCGTCGTCTAAAAGATGAAATACTTAGAGCTTTCGACAAATTTTAATTCTAAGAAAATCATTACTTTTGTCAAACTGATTGATGAAGTAAAGTCATTCTCTTGTTGGCTTAAAAAAAAAACCTCTAATAATTTTACTCTGGATTTCACAACAAAGGACTGTGTAATTACTAATGAATGTATCTTTACTTACCATAAGTAATTACTTTAGAATATGGTAATGTGAGTCATTACTATCATTTTTAAAGATCAAGCCAAATGAGACGCTCCTGCTTTGAAATTACTTAAATTAGGATCAGTGAAGAAGTTCTTTCCTTCCTCAAATTCCTGAGTGTTTTTTCCTGGCAACATTATTGACCAGTGCCCCGGTTTGCCTTCCAAAAAGGCAAGCAAAGCTCCATTTGCAGCAGTTTTATATGAGGTACAGGGCAACACATAGTATGCAATAATGATCTCCAGGGAAGTGCAAGGAGTTTTGCAGGGTTTCTTTAGTAAATGGTAATTAGAAAGCCATCCTGTTGTCATAACGACTGAAATTCTGCCTACCTGCAAACAGACTCCCTCCTTCCTTCGTTTTTTTTTCCTTCCGCAGTGAGAAATTTAGCTTACTAGACTCTCGGGTGTTTCATGGTATTTCTTACAATTTCATCATCACCTTGTGATAAAGTGGTTCTGCTTCTTAATGCTTCCTCTATAGACGTGAATAACTGTGTGGTCTTTACACATCTCGGAGGCTGCCGTCACCGCACTTTGCAAATCACAGATGTGGACGTCTAAGTGCTTTGGCTTAGCCCCTTTCAGGTTAAATAGGAAATGTCTGTCAGAGTGTTGGGCTTATGACATTATAGATCTGACATAAATTCTACAAAGGGCCAAGACAGGCTGTCTTTTCTTTTTTTCCCCCTTCACTAGTGAAAATTCCTTTTTGCTGTGAAATGATCAGCTGCACTTTAAATGAACCTGGATTAGGAGACCATTTGTCTTCTGAGGCTGTAATTCTAAAGGGAAAGAAAATGTGACCTGTTAAATAGTGACTTTTATATCGTGGCACTGTTTTATAACACTTGCCCCCTGGAGTTCTTGCATCTCTGTAAAACTACACACGTGCAATGTTATCCTCCATTAAAACATTGCATGTCTACACGTTTTTATTTACAAAAGCAAAAACTTAGAACATCCTGATCTTTTCGGTCTTCTTGGGATCAATATGTCAGTGGACATGACAAGACCAAAACTCACTTCATGGTACTGCGAAATTGAGTTTGATTTTTCCTCTGCAAATTGTGGCCTGTTCTTCAATTTGTCTGAGGACCGAGGACAAGGAGCGGGTGGAGGTGGCTGACAGGGGACAGAAAAGGCATTTGATTTATATTTTATGGCTGGTTGAGAAATCATGTGTTCTGGTTCTAACCTGACCTTTTTGGCAGGCCTCATTTCAGTAAATATGCCATCACACCAAACTGCCAATAAATTACTAGAATACATTAATACAATTACTTTCCCTGAGCCACTTGTCGGCCACCATTGGAGGTATCCATCAAGGATTCCACAGGAATGTTCCCTTCTGCTGAAATCAGTCCCAGGCAGAGGTCATGGCGGATCAGACATCCTTTAGCAGGTCGAACAAGAGGGTCACTTCTCAGGCCAGTCCGACTGCATAAATCACTGGCACAGCTAAGTAGGAGAGATGTGTTGATTTGATGTTATTGGAGCCAACACCACCAATCCATTCTAGAGAGGAAAATTACGCTGCCTCCCATGACATTTCATCTCACGCATAAACTTATTTTTGTGTGTGTTTTCGTTTTCTTTGTTTTGGTCAGGGGTGGTTCGAGGTTCCTTGAAACTGTCCTATCCTCATTCCTAACAGATGGTTACATGTTACTAAGGGCTGACTTAGGGTGATTAGAGCAAATCAAATCAAATTTCACCTATTAAGAAAAAAAAAACTAAGTCACATTGCTCTTAAATGTCACCCATATTTGTGACTCCAGACCTACTTGGACTTTTAATAAAGTGCTGTTCCCTTTATATGGTCTTTCAGTATTTAAATAGGAAAAAATGTCTGCTAATTGCCTCAAAGAGAGGGAAACCATGTCTAGGGGAGACTTTATGAGTCAGCCAGGTGTCTGGTGCCTTATTCACAAACGACAAAGCTGAAGCCTGAAAACAGTCGGCAGCCTGCCGGAGGTCAACGAGTGAGCTAACGGCTGAGTTTGAAGAATTCAGAGAAATGTAACATTGAAGAAAAACAAAAGATTTTATTTAGCTTTTTGAGATGTGAGAGGTTACTCTAAGATTGACTTTTTCTTCCCCTTGACAAACAGGTTTCTTGGATGATCCTAGTAATTAAATATCTCTCCGAAAGAATTGTTTTATAGCAGTAGGTTGAGTTATTTAGCTCAGTATTTGAATAAATGTTTTACCCCTTTATCTAGGGATGTAGACAGAGGCAAGGATGGAGTGATACAGCAAGAGGAGTGATGAGGCAGGAACTCTAGGACAGCTCCTGTCAAACTCACCTGTCCAACCTGCCAGGAACCCTCCCCAGGAGGGCGAGGAGCCAAGGGGTGACGTCCGTTGCTTTCAGCACTAGGAACCGTGGCTAGCCGGGGCTTTGGAGACCAGTAATAAAATTAAGACGAGCAGAAGGAAGAGTAATACAAAGGTAAAGGTGAACGAGTGTGAGAATATTACTCAGGTTGTGGGTTAGATGGTCGATGAGAGTGCAAAATGAATAGCCAGTAGTCTTCAAAATTAGAAAATTCTGAAGTCATTGGGGAGAGGGAATGAATGACCACAGTGGAGTCAAAATTTGAGTCCTTTAATCAAACTTTCACCCGACTTAAAACAATAAGAGAAAATATTGCTCCAAGAGTTGTTAGATCTTAGATAAAATTGAGACTAATTATCAACTTTATACAGTTAAACTCCAGGGTGAAAGTATTGTATTGCTCTTTAGATAGTCATAAGAGAAAAATTTTCAAAATCTGTTTTCAGAACTGTATTACCTGGTAGACTAA